TTGCCCTCGGGGGGGTGGGGGTGTGTGGCCAGGGTGGGTGTGGCCTACTGGGTGGGTGTGGATGGAATGGGTGTTGCCTATTGGGTGGGCATGGCCAGCTCTACATCGTTCACGTCAAGGGTGCCTGTGGGGGCCTGAGCAGGAGTGGGACAGATCTGAGGGTCTCTGGCAGAAGGGGATGGGACCGGGGCAAGTGCCAAGGCATGGTCCATTGGAGGAGCCTCACTGCCTGCTGAAACCCCTCCGCCAGAGCCCATCAAGCCGGATATGTGAAGTAGGCAAGGGCCATTTGCTGGCCACTTCCAGGCGATGATGCATTTCTTCATTCCTCACAAAGGGTGACATCTCCCCAGCATGCACCCAGGGGGCGGGGCCGACACAGCAGGGGCTGGTTCCTCGCTGGTTCCAGATGGCCTTGTGGAGCTAACACTGAATGTGTTTCAGCATAGATGGCCATCACAAAATTGTACATTGGCTCCTGGCCGGCCTGGGCCAGGGCCAAGGCAATGGGAGCCATTCCCTCACTGTTTCCAGGATGGCTTCATGGGCCACACGAAATGACTTCGCGGGCCGCATCTGGCCCCCAGGCCTTGTGTTTGACATGTCTGACTTAGATGCATTATTTCTTTTCCTCAATTCTCGGATGAGAGACACCCAAGTCTTGACCTTCTCTAGGAGATTTTTGTAGCCACCATGTGCAAACCTGTCAATCTCTGCTCATTGGATTTTGTTTTTAGTCCTGGATTAGTCTCCTGGGCCTTCTCTTCCCTTCATTTTTTCTTAACATGTGTCAAGAACTGGATAAGTCCTTCAAGTGAGAAGTTGGGTCAAAGAACACAATGACACTGTCAGTGGGCAGGATTGGAACATATACAGTTAGTTGATGTAAGGGCATCCATAAGGGGTGAGGGGCAGTTATTGTATGTTTGTAAGAAAAAGAGTGGCAGAAGCTGGGAATGGAATCAGCCTAGAATCCCTACATAGCCACAAGCAGACTAAGTCCAACCTCTCTTGAATTCTATTGACCTTTATCTAACTCCAAGCAGGTGATAACAGTTACTTGAGAAGATTCCTGTGCATAGGATTTTAGAAATAAAACCGTTTCATTGGACCTTCATGTGTAGACCTGGTCTTTCCAACCGGAAACTATCCAGCCAGCTGGTGTAAAATAGGGCAAGTACGTGATTCATATCATTTTTGCATTGTGTCACAAGTGACTTCATCATGGCTTCTTCTGATGCCCCCTAAAGCTGCATTTGCCCACTTTTCATCACACCACACACTCTAATATTTGTTAGAAAAATCAAGAATTATATATTTAATATTTAATTTGGAGACAAGTACTACTCTGAAGATGTTTTTTCTACCCCTGCAATTATTGAGCAAGCAATTTCCCTATCCTAATCCCAATCCTACACATTGAATGTTTGTCCCCTTAAAACAGGGGTAGGCCACCTCGGCTCTTTTATGACTCATGGATTTCAACTCCCAGAATTCCTGAGTCAGCTATGCCGAGGTGGCCTACCCCTGCCTTAACAAATAAGGAAACCTTTCAGATACAGGTAGCCCTTGACTTATGAGTACAACTGAGCCCGGTGCTAAGACAGTAGTTAAATGAGTTTTGTCATTTTATGACCTTTCTTGCCACAGTTAAGTGAATCACTGCAGTTGTTAAGTTAGGAACACCGTCATTAAGTGAATCTGGCTTCCCCAATGACTTTGCTTGTCAGGTCACCAAAAGGTGATCACATGACCCCGGGACACTGCAACCGTCATAAATATGGGTCAGCTGCAGAGCCTTTTGATCACGTGACCATGGGATGCTGCAACGGTGGTATGAAAAATGATCATGTCACTTTTTTCAGTGCCGTTGTAACTTCAACGGCCACTAACTAGCGGTTGTAAGTTCAGGATGACCTGTGTATAACCATATCACATCTGGGGAACTGCGTTTCTGCTTCATTTGGTCTCTGAGTCAGGTTTCACTCCTCATTACAAGCAAGCACATGAATTTCAGGGGAGGAAAATTTAAGACTTGCCTTGTTTCCTGGCCAGGTGATCAATAAAGGAATCCCACTCTGTGTAGGCAACTAATAATAAAATAGGAAAAAACTTCCAGAAAGGAAAGTGAAGCCCAGGGAGATTCAACCACCTTTATGAATAAAACCTTCTAGAACAGGGCTTTTCAACCAGAGGTACGGGTACCACCTGTGGTACATTGGCACCTGGCAGGTGGTACACGACCATCCTAGAAAAGTGGTAGCTGGGGAGGGGAAGGAGCTGAACCCGTGGCAGCACTGCACAAGCCTGAGTGAGAGATGGCTGGAGCTGCAGGGCTCAGCGGAAGCACCAGGATCAGCACCAGGCTCCAGCTGGAGCTCAGCATTGATCCTGGTGCTTCTGCTGAGCCCAGAAGAAGCGCCAATTAGCTGGAATGTTGTAGCATCTCCAGGGTCTTGTGATTTACATTCAGATGCTTGGGAACTGATTCATATTTATGACGGTCACAGTGTCCGAGGGTCATGTGAAGTGACCAAAACCTGCTGCAACCACCCAGCAGACGGTTGGAATAAAAACCAAACACCCCCATCCCACCCCCACTGCCAATCCTCAACAGAAATGCTCACAACAATGAAAATCTTGGACAGGAGGAAGAGCGCCGCCGGGTGGGCAGGCAGGTGTCTTGCTCGGCTGTGGCTTGGGGGGCACTTTTTTCAGTGCCATTGTAACTTCGAACAGTCACTAAGCGAACTGTTGTAAGTCGAGGACTACCTGTACTTCATCACTTTTTTCCTTTTTTGGGGGGGTCATCAAGTTTTTGACAACTTGCTAGGCGCCTGATGGTACTCGGATGTTGCCATATCCTAAAAGTGGTACAATGGGTGAAAAGGTTGAAAAGCCCTGTTCTAGAAAGCTATTTAAAATGGAACCCTGCAAACATCTGGGATGCTCTTTGACTGTGGAAACATCCTGGATTAGATTCAATGTTCAAATGGTGACTCTTTATGGCAGTGCTTCTCAACCTTGACAACTTTTAAGACGTGTGGACTTGATCTCCCAGAGTTCCCCAGCCGTGGTTACGTCTAGGAAATTGTATTATCCTGTAGCTACTTATGGTGGTGTAAGTTGGACCTTAAACAAGCAAGACAGGAAGAAAATTGAGCTGTGGTGCTGGAGAAGGCTCCTGCGTGTTCCTTGGAGAGCAGAAGTAACTAACAAGCAAGCACTGGAGAGCATAACACCAGACATGTCACTAGAAGGAAAAAGCACAAAATTGTGTCTCGTTTATTTTGACCAGGTCATGCAAGGGAATTCGCTGGAGAAAGTAATTATGTTTGGAAGAGTTAGTGATAAAAAAGGAAACCAGGCCGTCAAACAACAGGGTGGAAGACACCGTCAAAGGGGACACCAGCCAGAGCATGGGACAACTCAAAGAAGTAGGGCAAGATTGGAAGATGTGGAGAGACCTGGCCCATAGAATCACCAAGTCGGACATGACTCATCATCAAATTGTATATTGAAAGCCTCTGAGACAGTATATCTCAACCTTGGCAATACCTCAACCTTAGTTTGGACTTCAACTCCCAGAATTCCCCAGCCATGATTTAGTCTAGTAAATTGTATATTGAAACCCTCTAAGGCAATGTTTCTCAGTCTTGGCAACTTCCAGAGGTGTGTCCCAAAGGAGTTTCTTGTTTTGCTTGAAGACATTTCACTTTTCATCCAAGAAGCTTCCTGAGTTCAGACTGAATGGTGGAGAATGGAAGGATTTATATGACAACCATGACCGGGATGACTGAGAATCTGCACAGACATCCAAGATGTGTGGATTTCAACTCTTCGGATTCCCCAATTCTGAGAGCTGAAGTCCACATATATCGAAGTTGTTGAGGTTGAGAAACACTGCTTTTGGAATAAGAGAAGGAGTACCTAGATGTCATTCTATAAGCAGCTGAGAGATAACCAAACTATGCCTTAGTGACCCATCTCTCATCATAATTCAGGAAGAGATTAATGTTGTTAAGTGTTACAAATATGACGACCATCGTAAAGGGACAAGCATGACGTTAGCAGAAGTGCTGTGTGAAGGCCAACAAACATCAGTTAAAATGTTGACTTGCCTAACTCAAGGAAACTTAAAGAGACCAGAAATGGCATTTTGGCCATTTGGCCCATGGACTTTGACTCGTGGACATCATGGAGATGATGAGTGAAGACACTATTCAAAGCAGATTAAGCATGCCTAAGCTCTATAGAAATCATCAACATGCCAAGTTGTGCAGAAAAACACTTCAATTCTCTGGATAGTGGAATGTGTTATATTCTCTGGATTCTTACATAGGTGCAGGAGCAAAGAGGTCAAATGAACAGAAATAATCAGCCTAGTGTGACGACATGGGAGAGAACAAAATGGACGGCCAAGAGGGAAACAGCTAAAATTGCAAAGAGGAATGATGCAAATGCATGCACACCTCGCCAAGGGCATCATTCTAGAAATGAGGGTTGTTTTGCTCACAAAGAGGCAGCCTATAATCTTTCCACCTTTGCGGTGTTTTTAGCCCTGGCATCAAACTGACCCTTGACTTATCGAGCAACAGCGTTGTTGTTGTTCTTCTTATTATTTTTTTCATGGTTTTAATCACGGAGGAAATCCCCTGTATCCTTTAGAGCATAAAGTCATGCAAAAAAGAAAAAAAAGAAGGAAAAAAAAACCCTGCGCAAATCTTAAGCCACTTCGTTTTGGCAGCCGCGGGAGAACTGCATCGCCCAACTGTGTGAAATGGTGGAGAAAGAAGTCCACGAACACCCAGCATGCAGAAACAGCCATCGGTGGTGGAAGGGATGGGCGTGGTGGGTTGCTTTTTTTTGTTTGTTTGTTTGCTTTTGAGGGAGGAAGCTTTGGGCATGTACCGTAAGATATACAAAGTTTTTAAGTTTACAGGACAAGAAAGAGCCAGCCCGGTTCTCCACCCTCCCGCGTCCCACCCCCGTAGAGAAGATTAAATTGGCTTGCTTGAAGGAGTCCACATTGCCTCGGAAATCCCGTCCCCCGTGGAGGACAGAGGCATAGACCCACTGGGGGTGAAAGGGTCAGTATCCGTGTCTGTTTCCCCCTCAGCCAAATAGCGTTTTTCTCTCATCCAACTGTTTCCGCCGTTTGGCCCAAACAGGAAATCATCTTTATCTTGAGAGATGCTAAACCCGCTCGGGGAACGTTCGAGTTCCTCGTGATTGACCGAGAGCAGGGATAAGGGGGTGTCGCTGTCCCTTGTCGTGCTTGGCCTCTGTCTGGGGGAGATTCTGTCCGAATGGGGGTTCCAGAGCTCTCTCGGCGGGGACTGGAAGGAAACCTGAGGGTCCATGAAAGTCAGTATTGGCAGGACTGTGGGCCTTTCTGAGTAGGCCGTGGAGAAGGGCAGGGAGGGCCATCGGCCTGAGTTCTGCTCACCCAGGGGCAGTGAAAAGGGGTGGCGACCACAGTCTTGGCTGGGGAACCCAAAAGGAGGGACTTTGTTTACGGGGACGTGATGGAAGCTGGGAGACAGCTCATGAATGGAAGGCTTGGCGTATTTGTAGATGATGGATTTCAGTTCAGAGAACCGGTTATCCTCAGCCGGGGATGGGGCGTCTTTCAAAGGACGGGCGTCGGTGACCTGGACCTGCAGCCCCATATGCTGCTTGTGCATGTCCACTAAAAAGTCCAGCTTCTTCCCCATGTCATGGACCTGAAAGACAACAGCCATCAGAAGTCAACTGGAATAAATAAAACAACAACAATAATAAAGTTGGAAGGGACCTTGGAGGTCATCTAGTCCAACCCCCCCCTGCTCTGGCACGAAACCCTATACCATTTCGGACAAATGGCTGTCCAGTCTCTTCTTAAAAACTTCCAGTGTTGGAGCATTCACCGCTTCTGGAGGCAGGTTGTTCCACTGGTTAATTGTTCTAACTGTCAGGAAGTTTCTCCTTAGTTCTAGGTTGCTTCTCTCCTTGGTTAGTTTCCATCCGTAGCTTCTTGTCCTGCCTTCAGGCGCTTTGGAGAATAGCTTGACTCCCTCTTCTTTGGGGCAGCCCCTGAGATGCTGGAACACTGCTATCATGTCCCCCCTCGTCCTTCTTCTCATTAAACTAGACATACCCAATTCCAGCAACCGTTCCTTATATATTTTAGCCTCCAGTCCCCTAATCATCTTTGTTGCTCTTCTCTGCACTCTTTCTAGAGTCTCAACATCTTTTTTACATCGTGGTGACCAAAATTGAATGCAGGATTCCAAGTGTGGCCTTACCAAGACATTGTAAAGCGGTTTATTTAGTGAAAAATGTGACTTTTACCCTTTTTTCACAGTTATGGCCTTTCCAGCCTCCCCATGATCAGGTGATCAAAATTCAGATGCTTGGCAACTGGTTCATATTTATGACTGTTGGTGTCTCCCGGGGTCACGTGACTCTCTTTTGCGACCTTCTGACCAGCAAAGTCAATGGAGAAGCCGGATTCACTTTACAACCAGGTTACTCACTTAACCAACTGCAGCGATTCACTTAACAACTGAGGCAAGAAAGGTTGTAAAATGAGGCAAAGCTCACTTAACAAATGTCTTGCTTAATGACAGAAATTCTGGGCTCAATGGTGGTCGTAAGGGGAGGACTACCTGCAGTTGGCTTTCCAAACTAAGAGCAAGCTCTACTCAAGTGAAAATTGACCTCTCCCAAGGTCATCCCCAAGGTCAAAGCTCAGCACAACCTTTCAGATTTGTCATAAAGGAGAAAAAGATGGACACAAGCTGCCGGGCATTCCGTACCTGTCTTTCAACTCTGACGAATTTGCCCATCATGCTTTGGTCTTCAGGATCATCTGTAGATGCTTTGCTTATGAATGGCTCATTCCTAAAATAGAAGAAGGTTCTATTTTACACAGAGGCAAAAAAACATAAGAAATTTTTCCGACAAAAATTTCTAGTTCACAATCTATTTACTCCAACACTGGAAGTTTTTAAGAAGAGACTGGACAGCCATTTGTCCGAAATGGTATAGGGTTTCCTGCCTGAGCAGGGGGTTGGACTAGATGACCTCCAAGGTCCCTTCCAACTTTTTTATTATTATTATTATTATTATTATTATTATTATTATTATTATTATTATTATTATTATTATGATGATGATGATGATGATGATGATGATTATGATTATTATGATTATTATGATTATGATTATGATTATTACACAGCAGGTCATTTCAAAGGAGGACTTTCTGAAAGGATGGTCCACATCGTTACTTAGGACAGGGCTTTTCAACCAGTGGTATGGGTACCACCTGTGGTACATTGGCACCTGGCAAGGGGTACGCGACCATCCTAGAAAAGTGGTAGTGGGGGAGGGGAATGAGCTGAACCGGTGGCAGCACCGCACAAGCCTGAGCGAGAGACGGCTGGAGCTGCAGGGCTGTCAGGGCTCAGCGGAAGCGCCAGGATCAGTGCTGCTGTCCAGCTGATTGGCACTTCTTCAGGGCTCAGTGGAAGCACCAGGATCAGTGCCAGGTTCCAGCTGGAGCTTGGTGCTGATCCTGGCGCTTCTGCTGAGCCCAGAAGAAGCACCGATCAGCTGGAATGTTGCAGCCTCTCCAGGGTCTTGTGATTTACATTCAGATGCTTGGGAACTGATTCATATTTATGACGGTCACAGTGTCCCAGGGTCATGTGAAGTGACCAAAACCTGCTGCAACCACCCAGCAGACGGGTGGAATAAAAACCAAACAGCCCCCACCCCACCTCTGCTGCCAATCCCCAACAGAAATGCTCACAACAATGAAAACCTCGGACAGGAGGAAGAGCGCCGCTGGGTGGGCAGGCAAGTGTCTTGCTCGGCTGTGGCTTGGGGGGCACTTTTTTCAGTGCCATTGTAACTTCGAACAGTCATTAAGCGAACTGTTGTAAGTCAAGGACTACCTGTACTTTATCACCTTTTTCCTTTTGGGGGGGGGGGTCATCAAGTTTTTGACACCTTGCTAGGCGACTGGTGGTACTCAGATATTGCCATATCCTAAAAGTGGTACAATGGATGAAAAAGTTGAAAAGCCCTGACTTAGGATATAACAATTGCCTCTGTGCATGTTGAAGCCTTATTATTCTGCAGAATTACTGTGCGTTCTTGTCCTGTACAAAAATCAAAGGCAAATGAATACATTTTTGCGCTCCACGGGATTAAAGTCGTTACAGGTAAACCTCGACTTATTCATTTAGTAACTGTTTGAAGTTATCACGGCACTGAAAAAATTATTTCTGACTACTTTTCACATTTATGACCATTGCAGCATCCCCATGGTCATGTGATCAAAATTCGGACACTTGGCAACTGACTCATACTTATGACGGTTGCAGTGTCCCAAGGTCATGTGATCACCTTTTAAGACCTTCTAACAAGCAAAGTCAATGGGGAAGGCAGATTCATCTAACAACTGGGCTGCTAACTTAAGAACTTCACTGATTCGCTTAACAACATGGCGAGAAAGGTCGTAAAATGGGGCAAAACTCACTTAACCAATTTCTTACTTAGCAACATAAATTTTGGGCTCAATTGTGGTCATAAGTTGAGGACTATCTGTACATTTTAGGAATATCACATCTTGAGCTCCTGTGGTACTCCAAGAAAAATTAGCCACGCTTGGGGAAAAAAATGAAGCTTTGGGGGTATGTGAATTTTAATTTTAATGCAGAAACCATTTATTCCAAATTCTCAAAGAGTTGGAGAACAGGGTCTAACTTTTGCATATTTGTCTGATTCTTATAGCAGTTGCCAAAATTGTGGAAACCTTTTGGGAAAAGTGTATTTTTGAGGTTTGATGGCTAATAACGCCATTTTTGGGGGGGAATAGTACCATAAAATTAATTATCAATGGAAAGATAATTTAATCAAGAATGTAATGCAACATAGTTTGTTCAATTATCTGTACTGTATTCTATGAAAAGTTATAGCCAAATAACCAGAAAAAGGAAGCACAACTTGCTTAGATTAATATCAGGTAGCTTTCCTTCCTGAATGAGCCAATCAGATCACAGTAGGATTCAGCTATTGATCTCATGTATTGAAGCTGAGAGGAGGACATTTGTCAGTGTGTTATGTGATTGCTATCAAGCTGGTTGGGGGTTTTTTGTGTTCTTTCATTTAGCGAGCTTGTAAAATGTAATAAAATTAAAATAATGGTGCAAAGAGTTGACTGGCCACCCAGAAAGCGATGTAAAATAGTATTATTAAGTGAACAAGGCTACAGTTATAAAGAAATTAGAAGAAAAATTGGTGGAAACTTAACCAAAGGTGGCATTTCTACTGTATACTTTTCCCAAAAGGTTTCCACAATTTTGGCCACTACTGTATATTCAGTGCTATTTTCTTGGGAACTTGTGAGTTGGTTAGTTGTTCTACAAGTGTCCAAATTCAGAGTTACATGTTACAGGCAGTCTTTGACTTACGACCAAATTGAGCTCAACATTTCTGTTGCTAAATGAAACATTTCTTAAGTGAGTTTTGTCCAGTTACCGCAGCTGTTAAGTTCGTAACACAGTTGTTAAGTGAATCTGGCTTCCCTATTGACTTTGCTCGTCAGAAGATCACCAAAGGGGATCCCGGGACACTGCGACCGTCATAAATACGAGTCAGTTGCCAAACCTCTGAATTTTGATCACATGACCATGGGGATTTCTGCAATCGTCGTAAGTGTGAAAAATGGTCGTAGGTCAGTTCTTTCAGTGCCACTAAGTGAACTGTTGTAAGTCAAGGACTACCTGTACAGAGTCGCCTTGCAGCAAGATGGACAGGAAACAAATTTCATAACTAAATAAAAATAAAGCGTCCCAAATTTGGCTTTTGTATCTGATAGTCAATCAATCTCAGTAGATCAGCTTGTTGATGAAGAGGCAACAGCCGTGGATGAAGAGTTGACGAGGTATTTTGGATTTCCAGATAGAGGATGTAAGAATGTACATTTTTCAGTTCTAACTGCCTTAAGTATATCTATGGTCCACCTTACATTGGCACTTAAGGGAAACAAGGGGGGGGAAATGATGGCACCAGGGAGAAAATGATGTAAATGTGGCTTTCGCTGAATGGCACCCCCCCCCCTCAAAAATGTCACCTTGGAGACTGCTGAGAAGGGTAAGAGAATGTGCCTCCTTTCTGTGATTTTCTGTGTCTGGGAGTAGATGGAGGCCCAGGTGCAAAAACCATATCTATTCTGAAAAGAGATAAAGACAGAACATGAGGACTCCTGGATCTAGTCATATTACATGCTGTATAACTTGGCAACTTTAAGGCTTGTGGACTTCAACTTCCAGAATTCCCCAGCCAGCACTGGGACTACCTCTGATAGGCATGTTGGTTAAAATATAACAGAATAGTCCAACCCCCTGGACTGTGGTATATGGAGGCACCAATTTAAAGAAAGATTTTCTTTACAAATAGGAAATTGCCATTAGCAAAACTATTCCTTCCTTCCTTCCTTCCTTCCTTCCTTCCTGCCTGCCTGCCTGCCTGCCTGCCTGCCTGCCTGCCTGCCTGCCTATCTATCTATCTATCTATCTATCTATCTATCTATCTATCTATCTATCTATCTATCTATCTACCTACCTACCTACCTACCTACCTACCTACCTACCTATCATCTATACATCCATCCATCCATCCATTCATCCACTCACTCACTCACTCACTCACTCACTCACTCACTCACCCACCC